CAAACTTCTCCCTTACTACTGAAATGGTTTCTTGCTTTGAGTGAGAATGTACATGCATAGAAAGAAATGATGAAAGAACTTGCAGTGGAATTTCTTTTTCATGCTTTATTTATTTGTTGTCAACAGTTTGGCCATAATTGTTGGCCTAATACCATATTCTTCACCTATGTATGCAGGGCTTCAAATAACGGCCGGTCAATGGACAATGTCCAGTCAAAAAGAGGTTTTGTCCAGTCAAATCCTTAGATGGCTGGACAATTCGTCTGGTCGTTCAGTTACGCTGGTAAAGAAAAAATTTCAGAGTTTCAAGTTTTAGATATTTAAAGGTTCAATATTATTGACATTTATGGAAAAGGAGGGAAAAAAGGTGGATACTTAACTACCAGACCAAGAACTTTTAAGAAATGATTCATAATAGTCATAAAATTCCTAGCTATCATTGCAAATTTTCGCACAAATGTGATACTGATTTTGCTTTACCATGCGTTCCACTCTTCTTGCATTGAGATCGGTGCTCATGTACAATAAACGCTTTGAAAATTTACTTGTTTCATAATTAAACATCGTGTGAAGGAGGGAGGGGCACTTCTATAGCAAAAAGATGTAATTGATGTTTGTCTGGCCAAAAATGAGATACATCTGAGCAAAAATAGGTTTGACTGGACAGTTTGACTGGCACCAGCCGGGAAATTATTTGAAGCCCTGGTATGACAGTGACGCCCCCGGCCAAATTTTTCTTGGAGTAACCTGGTGTTATAAAGGATGAGATTATCTCATCCTTTATAACACCACATTTTTTCAGTTTGAAAGCCCTGGAGATGTAGAGCCTGAAGGGCTTTATTTATATTGGACTAGTATGATATGGACAGTGCCCATTACTCTTGATCACTCATTGCTGCAGCAGCTGAGGATTTCTATGAGTGTCATTAACATCATCATAATCATCAGTTATTTGCCATCAAAAGAAGTATATATAATTATATTAATTATTACATCAAGATTTAGACTTATAGGGGAGGCTGCCTCAACTGATGAACCCCACCTTACCATTTACGCCACCAAGGCTACTTGCAATTATAATGTTTTTGGCAGGCTCCACTGTTTGTTCGCCCAGCAAACATTTGAACTGGTGCATTGATGCAGGTACTCTTTATTTCACAGGAAGTGGTGTTTACTTTGGCCAACTGGACTTCAATCCTCTGGACTCTTGTGACAACATCACAGCAGAAACAAAATTGTTACAGTATCCTAACTTCATGAATTTCCTTCTACATGTGATCAGACAGTATTATAAACCTGTCAACTGTGGGATAATTGTCAGCATACTGTTACCTTCAGACGGTTGTTTATGTCCATGATTGTGTGGTTTCATATAAAATTATATCACTTATTGACTAGTAGTGTCCTGAATGTGTATTATCTAACCATGCAGTGTTCAAACTGAGTCCCAATCTTGAGTCCCATTCTGACCACTAGCTGGAGTTGTCATCAGCCGGCTTGTGTTTTGTGGCAACCCCAAGTTCAACTCCTCAGCCATATACATGAATGTGTTTGTATGCTTGTAAATAGCTAACTGGTTTATCTCCTGCTAGATGAGGTTGGGCTTTGTTATCACATGCTTCATTTAAAATATTATTTTGTTTCCAATCAACATTTAATTGTGGAGATGATGATAGATGCGAATACAGCCGTAACTACTACTTTGTTTTTTCAGGTCTTTTTTCCAGTGGTGCTATGGCTGCATTGTATCTATCATCATGTCTGCATTTAATTGCTATTGTTGGTCATCTATCACCAACATTTAATAGCTCATAACTACAAGCGTTTATGCTCTAAGGCTATAATCTAAAAGTAACAAAATTATTCTTGACTGTTACACAAGATACAAGTTGGTAGAAGGACAAGAGACAACTCCTCCTTTGTCCATTGGCCTGACTGGTTTCCATGCTCTGATGCTTTACAAAAACAAGTAGGTCTATAGTCTGCTAGTCTGTTATTTTTCCTAAGTAATTGTTTAATCATTTTAGTGAGTTAGCTTTTTTTGTTCTATTAGTTAGTTATTTACTGTTAAACACATTGAGTTACGAAATGCACCCTACCAAAAATGTAAATATTATTATTATTATTTTTTAATTATAATTATTGCTTTGATGAACCACACATTGTTTTTAAAGGTCATTTTTTAATGAAGACAATACATGTTTCAGATGAGATATCATCCATCGTCATTTGTACAGTGAGAAATAAAATGAAAATATGCAATAAATAGTATAACTGAGTGAGATATTNATTGACTGATTGATTGATTGATTGATTGATTGATTGATTGGCCAATAGATTGAATGACAGACTGACAGACTGACAAACCAACCAACAGACTGATGGATAGACTAACAGACGAATGGACCAACGGACCGACAACTGACCGACTGATTGATTTACCAGTAATCTGAATGACCAAACAACTTAGCGACAGACCAATGTATAATATACCATTGAACTGACAGTTTTAGTTATTGATTACAGTTGGTTGAGGTCATTGATTGATTAATTGCCATTATAGCTACACCAATGCTGCCAAGTGCTATGCTCAAGCACAAGTCTCTTTTGAAGAAGTTGCCTTAAAGTTTATTCAAGTGGGGGAGAGACAGGCCTTAAGAATGTTCCTGCTGAAAAAACTTGATAGTCTTAAAAACCAGGTAAGATTAAGTGTTCTTTTTTAAGTCTTGATATTCCAGCACCTAACCTTCCTTAGAACTCATGTTGGTCTTTGATATTTATTGTCATGTTGTTTGTCTGTCTGTAATTTAGGACAAGACGCAAATGACAATGTTGATTATGTGGTTGATAGAACTGTATTTGAATGACCTGGGCAGTTTAAAAGAGAGTGATGCAAAATCAAAACGCAAAGACCTGGAGGAGGAGTTCAGGAAATTCCTGGCACAAACCAAAGTCAAGGTGAGTGACTTCTAATGTAACCAACACAATGATGACAGCTGTATACAAAGGTTAATAGCTGATTGATGGATGAACAGCCATTGGCTAGATAGAGCTCAATAACTCAGTAATGGCTGGCAAATGATGGTTGGCCAAAGTATGGGTAATGACTGACTTGTAAGTGGATGCTCGATGGCAGATGAAAAGTTGACAAGTAGCTACTGGTGAATGGCTGGCCTAAGAAAGCTGTTTTTCCATGTTATTAGTACTAGTTGGTGAAATGCCTTTCCAGGGAATCATTTTCTACTAATTTAAGTGTATATCAAGCTAATTTGAGTAAATATACAATTTTGCAGACATGTTTGGACCAGAACAGAAAAACTGCTTATGATTTGATTGCTAGTCATGGAGATGTGGAAAATTTAATATTCTTTGCTATGTTGATGCAAGGTGTGTCTCTGTGTGAACTGGATTTAGTTTAAATATAGAATATTACAGATTTAATTGAAAAATGTAGAAATAGGAATGTGATTTCTAATAGTATCCTGTCACACAAGGTTACATTTAACTTTAAACGAATAACAATTTGGCAATATATAATGTAGCACTTTGTTGTGTGTTTTGAACTGCAGGAGAGAGATCATTTTAAATATGTGAGAGATTGTCACGGTAATCTGTGCAACTTGAGTAGTAATTGTTAAAATATCAAAACCCTGGAAAACAAATCGGACTTGAGTGGCATGGGATTCTAACCCATGTGTGATACTAGTGATAACGGTACAGTGTTCACCCCCAGACTGCCAACAGTGGTATCAAGTTAATTGGGAGTTGGTCAGGTGAAGCCTTAATTTTTTGGTGGCTGCAGTGATCTTCATCCTTAATTATTCTTGTTAATATCTCACTTGGTTATACTATTTATTGCATATTTTCATTGTATTTCTCACTGTACAACTGACGATGGATGATGTCTCATCCGAAACTGGTATTGTCTTCATTAAAAAATGAACTTCAAAAACATTGTGTGGTTCATCAAAGCAAAATTAATAATTGTGGTAAAATTGTTTCAGATTTTGAGCATGTAATTAGCCACCATATTCAACATGATGACTTCATGGCAGCATTGGAAGTTCTCATTAAACAGGTCAGAAAGTTCAATGTTGTTTTGAAGAAGGAATTTCCTTTGGTTACCTGCTGGAAATTTAAAAGTGTTCATTTTATTACAAAATAATAATATATAGCCACTGTGTAAAATTGTAATACATTTCACTAGGTGAACAAAACAGGCCTTTCTCTTTGCCTGCTCAATTCTTCCGCATGTTTGCCACTTTAGAAATGACAACAAAACTGGGGCGGTCTCATCTTGCAGTGGCCCTTAGGATCATTACTGGGGACAATATTGCTTCTCCTCGTTTTTTTTTGTAAAATAAAAGCAAACTTAAGTAGTTAAGGTAAAGATTTAAGTAAGAAAGTAATTAAAATAATTATTTTAAGAAAGGCTCTTAATTAATGTTCTAACCGTAAAACATCAAATTATCCTAGAAAGAAAGAAATAATTATGTTGTATATTTTGTTTATGTTTTAGACAGACACAGAGCTGTATTATAAGTTCTCACCAGTGCTGATGCAGCATATTCCACGGCAAACAGTGAGTGCATGGATTGAACAGAAGAAGAAATTGGACCCACGGCGGCTGATTCCTGCTCTTGTTCACTATCATCAGCAAGGAAAATCAACACAGGCAAGGCTGACTGATCAGAACATAACAGAAGCAGAACATAACTTGTTTAATTAATAAATAGATTGAAAGACAAGCTGGTTAACTAGTGTTTTCATTCCTAATTGATTAGTTTGTAAATGTAAGGCAAAGGTCTTTGCTGGAGCTTCCTGTAGCATGAAGTTACTAGGAGTATTATTTTTTACTCGCTCCTTGATGAGATGCTTGTCCATCACAGAGTTACTGCCTGTATTTAATTCACCAGTACCAATTTGTATGTGGGAGGTGCAGTGGCCTCATGGTTGGTGTGCTCGTCTCTGGATTGAGCGGTCCAGGTTCGAGCCCTGACCAGGGACAGTACATAATGTGTTCTTGGGCAAGACACTTTACTCTCACAGTGTCTCTCTCCACCCAGGTGTATAAATGGGTACCAGCGAACTTAATGCTGGGGGAAACCCTGCGATGGACTAGCATCCCATCCAGGGGGGGAGAAGGAATACTCCTAGTCGCTTCATGCATAAGAAACTGGGATAAGCTCAGGCCTGATTTGCCCCTTGATTCATATGCATACTACCCATTCATACCTCTGTTATGAACTAACATCTAAATCAGAGGAAGGAGGAGAAACACCCCTAGTCAATTCATTGTACAGACACCAAAGATATAAATGCGCCATCCTGATGGGCTATTATTCTGCAATGCAGAACTTTCTTTCTATGTTAAATATTCATGCAGCTGTAATGCTTACAAGTTCATTCCATATGTTTTTAATCATAGACTGAGGAAGCCATCCGCTACCTGGAGATCTGTATAGAGAGGTTAGGAAACAGAGACCAAGCTATTCATAATTATCTACTGTCCTTGTATATTGAGCAAGATGATGATCTGTCATTACTACGATACCTGCAAATGCAGGGACAGGTAAGTTATGATATTTCATGGCCAACGATAACATTTATTGCCATCCCAAAATATCTTGCAACCACATTCATATGCACAACAATATTTAATTTTTGCATGTAGTTTCTCCAATTAATTCTTAAGTTAATTTGGATATAGGGCTCTAATAAAAGCTTGAATTCCAACTTGCCCTTCAGGCAAGCAGCTCTCAGATTTTGCTTGCCCTGGGCAAGTCTTACAGTTTACGTTTTTATTTAGTTGGTCGACGGCTTGTCTGGCCCCTTACCCATTAATTTTGGTGAATGATAATGAAAAATTGCTTGTCCAGCAGGAAAATCTATTTGTCCTGGACGAGTGGAGGCCACTTTTTTTAGACCTAGGATATTGTTCAAATTAACACATAATTTGGACAGTTTGGTATTGTGTTTTCTTGGTATGTCTAGTCTAGCTGTCCAGTGAACTTAACTTTTTCATTTCTTTACTTTACTGGCATTGGCATCTCCACCAGTCTAATGCAGTACCTGTGTTATGTTGGTAGGACCCTGAAGAAGTGTGTTATGACATGAAGTATGCTCTCAGACTTTGCTCTGAGCACAACAAGCAGCAGGCCTGTGTGCACATTTACAGTACAATGGGACTCTTTGAGGAAGCTGTTGACTTGTCTTTAAAGGTATAATGAAGTAAAGTCCTCTTACCATATATCTGGCTGAGTCAGCCAATCTGTAGGTCTAGATTATAATTTCCAGTTTTTTGCCACATAATTTATAATTTGTGCCTTTGAAAATTTGACTTGAAAAGGAGTGGTTTGTTATGCTAAAAATTACAAATGCTGATTCAGCTTCTTGTTTTGGTATTCTTTACATTGGAAACTATTACTCTTGAAAAGAGGTTTGCAATTAGTTGTCCGTATTTAACTACAGTGTGACATACATGTAATGGGGCTTTGTAAAATTTGATGCTCATAATTATTCTTTCAAGGTTGATGTTGATCTTGCTAAAATTCAAGCTCAAAAGCCTCCAGAAGATGATGAAGTTTTGAGAAAGAAGCTGTGGTTAAGAATTGCGCGACATGTGGTGGAGGAAGAACGAGATGTTAAAAAGTAAGGTGGCTTTCACAACATGAAGTTATCCTGATTTTAATACATGTTGCTTTTTGGCTTGAAAAAACAGTGTACTGAAACAGTAATTACTGCACTGTAGAAGTTACTTGTTTTCTATGAAACACATTCTAAACACTAATCTGAGCCTTGTTGACTACGATGCATTTGCTAATATAAAACTCAGGCCTGGGGCCTGTTTCTCGAAAGCCCTGGAAACTTTTCAGGCTCACAAAGCCATTTTTAGTTAATCTGTGTCTAAAAACAGAGAGGTGTATATGCCTGAAACTTCTTGTATGAAGGGAACTTCTGGTCATATTAAGAATACATGTATGTGAATAAAACAACCCAGTAATCTAAAGGTTTGAGATTTTGCTATGGCTTTCTGGGTGCAAAACTGTTGCAGGACCTTCGAGAGACGCGCTCCTGCAGTCTAATTAACACAGACACATGGCACAAGATGATTTTGGTACACAGTAGTTACACCTAGCCATACCTTTGTTTTACCTGGTTATGTATTTTTTCTTCAGGGCAATGGAGTTTTTGAACCAATGTGAACTTCTCAAGATTGAGGATATCCTTCCTTTTTTCCAGGATTTTGTCACAATTGATCATTTCAAGGTCAGAATTTCAGCAACATATATATATTATCTAGGGAGTCTGATATCCATAATTTTGAAATTTTACTGGCCATGAACTGGACATAAACTTTCACTACTCAATGATCAAACAGACATTTGCATTGACAAATATCAGATATCTGATATCAAATCTAAAGGATTTTAACTCCTTTAAAGTCCTTGAGTATACAGATAGTATCGCTGTGTTATGTACATTATCAAGACTGTTTCACCTTTCTGTTCATCTTTGGTAACACTGTTGGCCAAGTGGATGAAAAAAACCCATGGTTATTGCCTAGCTAAATGAATAATTTTGCTACTAGAGAAGATGAAGGGTGTGAAAGTCATCCCCCATATAGGCCTTAAATTCCCAAGGCATGACAAGCTATTTTTAGGCAAAGTCATAGAAACTGGTTCTTCCAAAGATAATGTTAACCCACACGCTACATGGATGTTTTCCTGGTGGATAAAAATTAGTATAGAGCTGTTTGGGCTGTCCATGTGAGTCAAATTAGTCACCATCACAAGATGGGATCATCATTATTATCCTTTATCACCCCCGGGAGAGCAGAGGCATCCACCAGCATCACAAGATGGGATGGGATTTCAGAAATTGGTAGTGATCTGAAACAACTTGAGAGGGATCACCATGGGAATAAGGCCTATAGCTAGGGGGGCAAACCTCCTTTTTTTTTCCCTTTTGGGTCAAGTAAACTTTCCTCTTTTTTTTTTTTCTTGTAGGATGCCATTTGTTCTTCACTTCATGAATACAATCAACATATTGAAGAACTGAAAAGTGAAATGCAGGTGGGTTAAACCATTAGTTGCCAGCAATGAAAAATCTGAAAATCTGAAAAAATCTGCTTACAGATGTTGGTTAGTTTCATTGTTTTGTGCTCTAGTACATGCCTTCTTTATGATATTAACAGTACAGTCATGTAATTTGTGAATTATTTTATTTAGGAAGCCACAGAAAGTGCCAAAACAATAAGATCAGACATCCATGAAATGAGGAATAAGTAAGTCAAATAACAAAAATAATTACTTTTAATTGATTCTAAAAATAAAATGGTACTTATATTAGGTACCCAAAGCATCAATCTCTAACAAAGATAGCGTTTTTCTTTACACAAACCTGTTTCATGGGCATTGTACATGCTACATGGGCATGGCCCCTTTAGAAATTTTTAGTCTTTTTTAATACTTCTCTTTTAGAGTGTCAGTGTCATAATTTGTGCACTTGTCTAGTTCTGTCTTTTTTGCTCAAGACTGAGTATGTTTTATGGAGTTGTTTTGAGAATAAAGGTCAAGCTTGCTATGGCTAGCTTGGCATGGCTCCTAGTGTTGTGTGAGAATTCTTAACAATAATAGAGGATCTGGTCAATGGCAAAGGCCATTCTTGTTTAATAGTTAATTTTAGGAAATTTGCAGTGGCCCAGTAAAGGAATAATAGCTCATCAAGATTTTTAGATTTTTATTCCTGTTGTTTCCCTAGAGTTATAGTTGCAGTAGCATTAGCTAAAATAAAAATTAATATCTTTTTCCTAAAACGTTGCAGATACAGTATAGTTCCAGCACAAGAAAAGTGCGCAATCTGTTCATATCCTCTGCTTACACGAGGCTTCTATGTGTTTCCCTGTCATCACGCCTTCCATTCAGATTGTTTGAAGAATGAGGTGAGTAACTATGTAGTCCTAGTGTATCGTTAGTCCAAATTGCTGCAAGATGTAAGAGTTACATTGAGATCTTGCAGTTTAACCCCCATTAATGGAGACCTGTTGTAAGCAGACTCTTCGTCACTACATTTTTAACCTCTTGTAAGTGGACACGATCAGCTCTCTAGGGTGTTCCGGGTAAATTTGGCCCAACACAGACTGTACATGTATCTTATTGCATTACTGTAACAAAGACATTGACCTATTATTGTCGTTGCAGATACTACCAAATCTTAAAGAAAAACAGAGGTATGTACTATCTTCTTGCACTGAAGTTGATCGTTTCAAAAGGGAAAAACTTGTGAAATTTGTCTCTCTCTTTCAAGGCATAACACTTTAAATTTGTATTGTTTGCCTTTTAGAGCTAAAGTTCAGGAACTTTATAGCCAGCTATACACTCCATCAAGAACTGACTCATCCACTGTCACACCAGCTTCCCGAGAGTCTGTTAAGGTACTTAATAAATAAATATACTTAAATAATTATCTCTTTGAAATTCTTTTGATTGCTGTTTTCCAGACCATCAAATGCGTTCACTGTCATGAAAAGTCCTGTTACACTTGGGGTACAAAAAGATCTATGATGTACTAGCCCCCCTAAATTTATCTCTTACATTACTTCAATCAATAATTTGCATTTCCTAAAACATTTTCCAAAGAAACTGCACAGCCACTAGTAAAGACAGAATCCACTACTGGAAAATGCACTAGCCCTGCACTATCAGACAGGTCTTTCTTTGCACATTATACACTAGGAATTATTCTTGCAAGAAGTGAGGCTAGCCTAGTGAAACTGTTTTATTGAATGTTCACTCTAAGGCATAAGGTCTTATGTGGATAGTTTATACATTCGATAACATTATTTCTTTTTGGCACAATAATTATTATTAGTAATAAATTGTTTGGTGGCATTTTAGAATGAGCTGGATGACCTAATTGCATCTGAATGTCTCTATTGTGGTGAAATTATGATTAGGTAAGAACTATTAATATTATTTACCATATAGTGTATATAATTATGATTTATTTATTTTACTGACTTGTACTGCCAGAAGGAATGTTGTCTTGAAGAAATCAAAGGTTGGATAATAGTCATTGTTATAATAAAAGCACATCCCTGACCTGAATATCTGATCCTGGAGGAACTTACAATACCTTTTCTTGTCTTGAGGATGCAAATCCTTATTTGAATGATGTGATAAATTAGAACATGGGCAGTCCCACTTTTCCCATTCTTGTTCTGTGAGCAAATGCCTGATGTTCCAGGCAAAATTAAAAACTGGGACCAGAAAATCCTGGCTCTAGTTTGATTCTGTTTAATGGGAATAACGCAAGCGCATGGGGAACATGAACCCTCCCACTCCCATTTCACTTTCTCTTCCCCTAGGAAACCTCTGCAGAGGCAAGAGGGGTTACCACTGTGACTAAAGCTAGCCTGTAGAACAGGCATAATTTTTTGGTGTGTTTTAGGTGAATGGAGGCAAAAGCGAGGCAACCCTTTTTTTGCCTAAAATACACAAAAAATCATGCCTGTTCAGCGGGCTAGACTAAAGCTGGCTCACAGTTCGATTTCCATCTGAAGTTGTGATTCTTGGTGCTAAATTGGCTAGCAACAAGACAACCAGATCATTATTCTCTTCAGCCTTGGTTGAGTGTGATGCAGAAGATCATGCAACCATTTCTCCTACTTTTGTTCAAGTCACACACAGAAAAAAGCCCCTCGTAGTTAGTGACAAGTCAACTACCAGACAAGAGACTTATCTGGATCCAAACATTTTTCTGTTTCAGAACTGTTGATCAACCATTTATCTTGCCAGATGAATATGAGAGTGTACTGGAAAGCTGGCAGTAATTTTAGTTAAGAGAACATTTATTTATAATGAATGAGTGGTAATAATATTATTAAAAACAAAAATTAGTATCAAGTCAGCCCAGTCTCCTCTGCTTCTTTTTGTTTGGTTGCCATGGAAACAAGGCATGCAATGTAATTGATGCAAAATTAATGGTGCACTTGTTGCTGAGGAATGTAAAACTAATTTTAAGAAACCATTATATCTTTGTACTAGTTAAGAGTACTAACTGAAGAGGGAATGCTGTCACTTTTCATATACTATATTTATGTGCTGAGAAAACTGAATGATGCAGTTGATTCTTTTAAACTGACACATTATGAGACTAAAGGTTAGAGGCTGATTACCTCAGGTTCAGTCGTAGTGGGCTCATCACCAAGTTGTTTGTAGTAAGAGATATATAAACTTTACCCAGAACTTAAGAATTCTAACTCATTATTTGTATGCAGTTTCAACTTAATTGTATATTAATAGAGTATAAAAATGTACAGAAAGAAAACCCCAAAGCTGCAGCAATAATAAAGCGTGAAACTTGTCTCTAATTTAACGTGAACAATCTGTATTGTCATAACTCAACATGACAGGTGACTTCAAATACACTAGAAATATTTTCCTTGTTGTTGTGGTTGGTCTATGGTGAGGAGATTTGACTGCAGATGTGGCAAAATAATTATACTGGGGATGGATCTAGGGGAGTAAACAGCATTCAATATTACTATCCCATCTAGTCGGGTAGGTGGTAGAGTCTGCATATGAGCCAAGTGGCCCATCAGGCTAGAACTCATCCCAGTTTCTGTAACATGAAGCAACTAGGAGTATTTCTACTTCCCCCTGGATGGGATTCTAGTCCATCACAGGGTTGCCCCCAGCATTAAATTCGCCAGTACCCATTTGCACACCTGGGTGGAGAGAAGCACTGTGAGAGTGAAGTGTCATGCCCAAGAACACAATACAATGTCCCTGGCCAGGGCTCAAACCCGGACTGCTTGATCAGAAGACGAGCACGCTAACTGTAAGGCCACTGTGCCCTCACCCCATCTAGTGGGAGTAGGGAACATTCCTCCCAGTGTCTTGAATATGTGGTTCATGTTTGTTGTTGGTTGTTGCCTTACTTTGAGGGTTTTCCTCTGGGTACTCTGGTTTTCCTCCCTCCTAAAAAGCCAACTTTTCAAAATCCTCATTCAACCAGGCCAGAGGACCTGCAAATGCATGAGCACCAGCTGTGGCTGAAGTGGCTAACAAGAAGCAGCAATGACTAAAAAGGCATAAAAATCTTTGATAAGATCTAACAATTACATTTAAAAGACAAAACAGTAGGAAAAGACGTTTCTGATCATAATGATGGTATGTGACTGATAACAAAATTGGGGAGATTGGTCTCCTTTAGAGGTTA